CATGGGGCTGCTGTCCTGCCCCACAGCCCCACATGTTCCCCATCCCCACTGCTAACCATAGGGCCACTGTCCTGCCCCATAGCCCCATACTCACCATCCCCACATCCCCACGTGTCTCCCCAAGCCCTCTACCCAACCACAGGACCCCCACCCTGCCCCATGTTGCGGCCCCTTGACCCTACAGCCCAGCCATGGGGCTGCTGTCCTGCCCCACAGCCCCACATGTTCCCCATCCCCCCTGCTAACCACAGGGCTGCTGTCCTGCCCCATCTTCCCCACATTCCCCAGCCCCTCTGCCAACCGCAGCCCCACAGCCCCATGCTCCCCATCCCCACGGCTCCCACCCCCCATCCCCGCCCCCCTCAGCGGATGCTGCCATCCTCCCCGCCGCCCTGCAGCTTCTCCCTCTCGATGGACCACAGCAGCTCCTGCACGAAGCGCACCTCGGATGCCACCTGCTCAGCCAGGGCACCGTAGCGCTTCTCCAACCTCCGGTAGCGCCGGCGCAGCCCCCCGGCCGCCTGCATCACATTCCTGCTCTCCTCCTGCGCCCGCTGCCGGGCGGACTCGGCTCGGAGCAGCTCCTGCCGGATCTGCCGCAGGTCGCGGCCGATGCTCTCGTTCTCCTCTTTGTACCACGATTCCTTTTCCTCGTAGATGGACAGCAGGGCCTCGATGTCCTCCCGGAAGGATCTCTTGTTCTTCTGGATCTCACGGAGGGTCTCCTCCGCCGCCGCCACCTCCTCCATCACTTTGGAGAAGCGTTCGAAGTTGATGTAGGTGTTGTTGGGCGGCATGCTGGAGTGAGACTTGATGGTGTATTCCTTCAGCCGCGTCGTCTTCAGCCGCCGTCGCTGCTCTGCCTTCTTCCCACTGTCCTCATTGCGGACGTTCCTCCTCTTGATCACCTGTGGGGAGACGTGGGGATGGGGCAGCGCAGCGGGGCCAGATTGGCCCTATGGGGTGGGAGGAGCACCGAAGGCACCGGAAGGGACTCACAGGGACAGGAGCACAGAATGGGGTGGGGTGGGGTGGATTGAGTTGGGTTGAGTTGAGGTGGGTTGGGTTGAGTTGGTTTGGGTTGAGGTAGGTTGGGTTGAACTGAGGTGGACGGAGGTGGATTGGGTTGAGGTGGGTTGGATTGGGTTGGGTTGGGTTGAGGTGGGTTGGGTTGAGTTGGTTTGGATTGACGTGGGTTGGTTTGGGTTTGGTTGAAATGAGGTGGACTGAGGTGGATTGGGTTGAGGGGGTTGGGTTGGTTTGGGTTGGTTGGGGTTGAGATGGACTGAGTTGAGTTGAGGTGGGTTGGGTTGAGGTGGGTTGGGTTGAATTAAGGTGGTTTGAGTTGAGGTGGGTTGGTTTGGGTTGAATTGAGGTGGATTGAGGTGGGTCGGGTTGAGGTGGGTTGGTTTGGGTTGAGATGGATTGAGTTGGTTTGGGTTGAGTTGAGGTGGGTTGGGTTGGGTTGAGTTGAGATGGACGGAGGTGGATTGGGTTGGGTTGGAGGACTCCAAAGATCTCCCCATTCCAACCCTCACCACAGGCGGGTGCCCCTCAGTACATCAAAGTGCCCAGGACCCCCCACCCCCAACGCCTCCAGGGACGGGGCATCGCTGTGGGGTGGGACTGCCCCACACCTGACCCCACAGAAACAACACACGCTTCCTCCAGACCCCCCCACGCAGGCTGACCCCACCGCATCGCTGAGCCCCACTGCTGACCACACATGGGACATCATGAGACTCAAACCACGGATCTGAGCGCTGTTCCAGTGCCACAACAAATCCACGTGGCTGTGGGGCCACAGCCCACCCCACTGCCACAGCCCCCATCTGCCCCACAAGCCCCAAACCATCACTTGGAAACCCCATACCTTGATCCAGGGGTGCTCCAGGCTCTGAGCTATGGTCATCCGCTTCCTGCAACAGCAGTGGGGTGGGACGGGGGGGGGTGAGGTTGGGGGTTGGGGGGGGGGGGGGAACAGGAGGAGAGGGGACAGGATCAGGGGGATGGGATCAGAAGGGCACAAAATCAGGGGGGCCACGCAGGGTCAGCCCTCAATCCACCGCTTCCTCACAACCCCATTCCCTCCTTTCCATGTGCTGCAGCCACAGGTGACCCCGCAGAAACCAACCCAACCCCACACCGATGTGGGGCACAGCCAGGCCCACGTCAGCCCCTGCCACCCACATCCCAACCCTCACTTGGGGTCCTTGACCAGCAGCCGGCGGATGAAGTCCTTGGCCAACTCGCTGGTGCTGCTGAAGTATTCCTCATCGAAGTCGTAGTTGACGGCGGAGATGTTGGTGAGGGTCTCCTGCTTCGTTTCCCCCAGGAAGGGGGAGGCCCCGCTCAGCCTGCAGCAATGGGGAGATGCTCAGTCCCACATTCCCACCCCCTGCAGCTCCCTCAGCCCCGGCCCCAACTACTCACAGGATGTAAGTGATGACCCCAATGCTCCTGGAAGGGAAAAGAGGAGCTCAGAGCCTCACAGCGTCCCCCCACGTGGCACAGAGGGGACGTGGGGAAAAGTCCTCGCCCCACACCGGGGCTCACTCACCACATGTCAGCCTCCAGCCCCAGTGGCTCGTAGTTCACGATTTCTGGTGCTTTAGGAAGGAAGAAGGGAGAAAACAAACTCATTTTGGGGGGAAAATTGCATGGACATGTGGGGCACCCGGCTCTGCCCCACAGGGAGATAACCCACCCCAGAGGCATCTCTGCAGGATGAGGCCAACATTTCTGAGCCCAGAGAACCCCCTCCCCCCCCCTCCAAAACTGTGCCTCACCCACAAACTCTGGGGTCCCGAAAATGTTCTTGAACTCATTCCCAGCTTCGATCTTGTGGGCGATCCCGAAGTCGATGAGTTTGATGCGAGGGTTGGGCACGTTCTTGTCCAGCAGCATGATGTTCTCCGGCTGTGGAGGGGGAGGGATGATCAGTGCTTCACCCCAATGCTGAACATGCAGCATTCCACAAGCCAGCAGTGTGCCACGATGGCCACAAAGACCGATGGTTGACCAATGGTTGGCCACAAGTCAGCAGTGTCCTCCTGTGGCCAAGAAGGCCAACGGTGTCTTGGTTGACCATGGGCTGACCACAGGTTGACCATGAGTCACAGTGGGCCCTGGTGGCCACAAAAGCCAGTGGTGTCCCAGTCGACCAATGGTTGACCAACAGTTGATCAATGGTTGACCACAAACCAAGATCTGCGCCCCAGCAGCCACGAAGGCCAATGGTTGACCAGTAATTGACCAACAGTTGGCCACAGGTTGACCACAAGACAAGAGTGTGCCCCAGCAGCCACGAAACCCGGTGGTGTCCCAGTTCACAGAATCACAGAATGACAGAATAGTAGGGGTTGGAAGGGACCTCCAGAGATCATCGAGTCCAATCCCCCTGCCAAAGCAGGTTCCCTACACAGTTGAGCAATGGTTGACCAACAGCTGGCCAATGGTTGACCACAAACCAAAATCTGCGCCCCAGCAGCTACGAAGGCCAATGGTTGACCAATAATTGACCAACAGTTGGCCACAGGTTGACTGCAAGACAAGAGCGTGCCCCAGCAGCCACGAAACCCACTGGTGTCCCAGTTGAGCAATGGTTGACCAACAGCTGGCCAATGGTTGACCATGAATCAAGATCTGCGCCCCAGCAACCACGAAGGCCAACGGTTGACCAATAACTGACCAACAGTTGGCCACAGGTTGACCACAAGCCAGCAGGGCATCCCAGCAACCATGAAGGCCAGCAGTGTCCCAGGTGACCAACGGTTGGCCAAGAGATGGCCAATGGAAAACCACAAGCCTGCAGAGCGTCCCAGTGGCCAAAAAGACCAACAGCAGCCCAGCTGACCAACAGCTGACCACCCAACGTCCCACCCAACCCCTACAGCTCCCACCCCCACCCCAGACCCCCACCTTCAAGTCAAAGTGTGCGATGCGCTTGGAGTGCAGGTAATGCACCCCGTCCAGGATCTGCTTGAGGAACTGCGTGGCCTCCTCCTCCGTCAGCGACTCCTTTTCCGCCAGGAAGTCGAAGAGCTCCCCGCCCGACACCAGCTCCAGGATCAGCACCACGTCCGTCTTGTTCTCGAAGATGTCGTGCAGGGTGATGATGTTGGGGTGCTGGATCTCCCTCAGGATGTCCACCTCCCTCTCGATCTCCTCCCTGCTCACCCCCCGGCGGCTCGACGACAGCCGTCGTTTTTTGATGAATTTGGCTGCGTATTCCAGGCCTGTTTTCCTCTCCCGGCATTTTCTCACGATGGCAAATTGGCCGCTGTGGGAGGAAAGAACCTGAGAACCTTCAGCACGGCTCAGGCAATGGGAGAAGGCACAGATCCCAACAGCTGGTGGGGAGCGGGGTTCTCTCGGATGCAGCCAACATCCTCCCCGGATGGGGATGGGGCAGAGCAGCCCCTACAGCAGAGCCCACAGGGCTGCCCCATAAGCTCGGGGTGCATCCCAACCCTGCAGCACGGGATGTGGGAAGGAAATCTCTTCCTCCCACGGACGCAGCAGCTGCTCAGCTGTCCCCACGCTGCCGGGCCGTGCAGGAAGCCAGCCCCACAGCCCTGCTCGTCCATGACCCCAACCTCAGTCCGTAGGCTCGGGGCCGCTCATCCCAACGGATGGGGCTGGGGCTGTCCGTCCCTCCCGCCCCATCTCTCCGCAGGCTCGGGGCCGCTCAACCCCCGCTCCCTTCCCCCAAATCCCCGCAGCGCCGTGGAGGAGGACGCCGCCCCGCAGCCCCGCAGCTCCGCACCGCCGCCCCTACGGCCCCTCCCCGCTGACGTCCGTCCGTCCGTCCGTCCGTTCCTCTCTCCCGGCCCCGCGGAGCCATATAAGGACCGCAGCGCCGCGCCGGCCCCAAATCGCAGCGGAGCGGCACGGCGAAACCCCAAAGCGGTGCGGGACGCGCATCGGGACCCGCCCCACAAACGCGGGGCCGGCCGGGGGCACCGGAGGACGGCAATTTAACGCCACGAATGCCGCTTCCCGCCCGCTTTCCTCCCGCCGGCGCTTCTCCCCGGCCCCGCCGCCCCCCGCTCACCTGCCCAGCTCTTCCCCCATCTCGTAGAAGTCCTCCACGCTCTCCTGCCGGAAGGTGGACATGGCCGCGGTCCCGCGGCTTCCCCTCCGCTCGGTTCAGCCCCTGCGGAGCGGGATTCGCGGCTGAGCCCCGCGCCGAGCCCCGCGCCGCCCCCCGCCCCGCATCGCCCCGCGCCGCCGCCGCACCTGAGCCGCCCCCGCCCGCACCGCCGCCGCCGCATTCCACCACTGCTGCCGGCTCCGCCCCTCCGCCTCCGCTATTGGCCACGGCGCCTCCGACGTCCCGCCCCTCGCGCGCTATCATTGGCTTCTCGAAGTGACGTCATGCTGGAATGCGCGGATGAGGCCGCGCGGGGTGGCCCCGCCCTGTTGCCCGGCCTCGCCCAGGAGCTGCGGGATGCGGGTTCGAATCCCGGCGGCGCCTCCCGGCGGTCCCGCACCGCTGCTCCCCTCCCCCCCCCGCCGCTGGGAATCCCGCAGCTTTGAGCTCTCGGAGGCCGGGGATCCGGCGCCCCGGCATCACGCAGGGACCACGCGTGACCCAGCAAAGCGAGGAGGTGCACGGCCAACCCTTCTTCACCATATCAAATTTATTATTTCCAGTGGCACTAATACATTGGTTGATGCTCATGATGACAATCACACTGCACAAGATCTCCCTGCCTTCGAGTTGCTGCCCAACCACAACACCTCCTCCCCTCCCCCCCCCCCCCCCGGGCCCCCCGGCCCCCCCCCGGGAGAGGGGAAGCAGCCCCCGCACCCCTCAGCCTCTCTTCCCCCCCCATCAGCAAAACAAAGCAGAGACGCTCCTCAGCTCAAGTCAAATAAATATGGAATCAGGCAACTCTAGTTGCATCGAGTGGAAATGCTTCGTTACAATGGCACCGAGCAGGGCCCCAGATGAGTCATGTGCAACACAGAAACCTATAAGGCTGAATATCAATGCTTTTTTTTTTGTTTCCTTTTTGTTTTTTTTTAAAGTCTCCAATCGCTATGGAACTGATTAAGTACAATGCAAAGAGATGGGTGCTGCAGTTCTACCCTCTGCCCGCTGTTACACTAGTTAGTTTGTCTGAGTCCCACACCAGCAACGGTGGGTGCGCAGCCTTTACAACTTGTCCAGGAAGTTGTCCAGGGCTGGGATGCCCTCCTTCAGCCCCTTACGTTTGCGGGTCTCAGCCACCACCTGCGAGGGGCGGCTGGTGCTGTCGAAGGGATCCCCAGGCAGGATCTGCCAGTGGTCAAACACGCACTGGGGGAAAGCCTGGCCGCCTGTGTTGGACCTCAGGTCAGCTGTGAAACCTGGAGGGGAGAGGAGAGGAGTCGGAAGGGGAATCACAGCCCAGCCCCACAGATGCGGGATTCCACCTTCCCATGAACCTCCAGCCTCCCCCCACCGCCACCAACAGCCCACATCCCACCCCACCTCCAGCCCTTAAAGCACAGGACACGAATCACAGAAACACCAAGGTTGGAAAAGACCTCAAAGCTCATCCAGTCCAACCGTTCACCTGTTCCCAACAGCTCCCACTAAACCATGTCCCTCAACACAACATCCAGTCTTTCCTTGAACACCCCCAGGCTCGGTGCCTCCACCACCTCCCTGGGCATCCATTCCAGTGCCTGACCACCCTTTCTGACAAGTAATACTTCCTCATGTCCAGCCTGAATCTCCCCTGCCGTAGCTTGAAGCCATTCCCTCTGCTCCTATCACTGATGACACGAGAGCAGAGGCCGACCCCCAGCTCACTACAACCTCCCTTCAGGAAGTTATAGAGAGCAATAAGGTCTCCCCTGAGCCTCCTTTTCTCCAGGCTGAACATTCCCAGCTCCTTCAGCTTCTCCCCATCAGCCCTGTGTTCCAGACCCCTCACAGCTTTGTTGCCCTCTTTTGAACACGTTCCAGGGCCTCAATATCTTTCTTGCAGTGAGGGGCCCAAAACTGGACACAGCACTCGAGGTGCGGCCTCACCAGAGCTGAGCACAGGGGAAAATGAATGGCGAGCAGGAGGAGCCGCCCCACACTCACCAAAGGACTCGTTGACAGGCAGATAGGCCTTGACCACAAACATGGGGGTGCCAGCCACCTGGGACTCCTCAAAGACGTGGCCACGCTTCCTGTTCAGCACACCGTAGATGCCACCGACCACCTGCTCTGGGCACTGCGGGACAGAGGAGTCGGGGGCTGCAAACCGCCCACCTCTGCTCTCCTCAGGTGGGGAGAGAGGATTTGCCTTACCTGGATTTCCACAAGGTAGATGGGCTCCATGAGCCTGGGCTGGGCGGTGAGCACGCAGGCATACAGGCACCTCCTGGCAGTGGGAATGATCTGGCCGCCCCCGCGGTGGATGGCATCGGCGTGCAGGGTCACATCGTGCACATCGAAGCGGACGCCGCGCATGTTCTCCTCACACAGGACGCCCTGGGTGAGCAAAGGTGGGCTGTGGGGCAGCACCGGGGCCAGAGGGGAGCCCTGCTCCTCCCACCTCCGAGTCACGGCTGCAGGCAGCTCTGGAGCTGCCCGCCGGGCTCCCAGCAGCCTCCCAAGCTCGCGGCCACCGAGGCACCGCGCTGTTCTGCCCCACGGCAGCCCGGCCCCACGCACCACCCCTACCTCCTTGGTGGCCCACTGGAAGCCAGCCACCACGCTGTCCTTGATCTCGTTCAGGTACTGCACTCCCTTGGTGATGTCGGTCAGGATGTTGGGCCCGGTGCCGTCAGGACCGAAGCACCAGATCTTCCTGGCTTCGGTGACGTCCCACTCGTACTTCTCAGCCAGGTAACGAGCTCTTTGCTTCAGCTCCTGGCGAGCAGAGACCTCGCCCTTGTCGATGTCCTCAGCCAAACCGTCAGGGAAGGGCCGGGCCTTCATGTACAGCCTGTTGTGTTTGTTGGGGGACTTGGAAAGGCACATCACGTTGGATTCCTCGCTGACCGTCTCACGGTAAGACACGACGGGATCCGATTTCTGCAGCAACAAACAGCAAGGAAGAGCTGTGAGCCACCAGCCTGCAGCTCCCAGCAGCACAAAGGCTGCCAGCACAGAGCTGTTATGCTGTCCCTGCTGTTCAAGCTGTGTGTCGGTGCCATCAAAGCACGCTGCTTCACAGCCCCTCGCTCAGCCTGCCAGGCTGCACACAGCAGCTGTACCTTGATAGGAATGCAAGCGTGGTCCTCCTCCAGATCCTTCAGGCAGATTTCCAAGTGCAGCTCCCCTGCGCCAGCAATGATGTGCTCTCCTGACTCCTCAATGATGCACTGGAAAAAAAACCAAAACCCAAACATTAAGACAGCAGGTGAGACTTTGGGCTGACAGCAATGGAAGCTCCCGCATGTGAAACACCAGCATTTGCCTGACGGCCTCTGATTTTCTGCCTTGACTCATAGAACTGTTTTAGAAACTCCTTCTGCAGTTCTGGGGATGAGTCAGCATGAGGGAGGAGCGCTCTGTTCCTCCCCACTCTGGGAGGGCTGGAACCAATAACCAACTGCAGCCCCTTCTGCCAGCTCTCCCACTGCAACCACAACCAGAAGCACCACAGCGACTCCTGCGCAGGACTGGGATTTCCTGCAGGCTCACCTGCACCATAGGGTCAGACTTGGCGAGGCGTTTCAGCCCCTCCACCAGTTTGGGCAGGTCTGCAGGGTTCTTGGCTTCCACGGCCACTCGCACCACAGGGCTGACGCTGAACTTCATCACCCGCATGTTGTGAGCGTGCTCGAAGGTGGTGATGGTTCCAGTCTTCACCAGGAACTGATCGACACCAACCAGCCCCACAATGTTTCCACAAGGCACGTCCTCAATGGGCTCCACATAGCGGCCCATCATGAGGATGGTCCTGCAGGGACAGAAGGCTGTTTCACGGCCTCAGAGACACAAACAGGAAGGACAGCTGCCCTCGCGCTGCACCCAGCCGGGACCAACCTTTGGATTGGCTTCAGGTACAGATCCTCCTTCTTGCCAGGCGTGTAGTTGGGTCCCATGATCCTGACCTTCAAGCCAGTCGATACAAGACCAGAGAAAACACGACCAAAAGCATAGAAACGGCCCTTGTCGGAGGTTGGCACCATTTTAGAAATGTACATCATCAGGGGGCCCTTGGGATCACAGTTCTTAATACCTGAGAAGGAAACAGATTTCATTGAGAAATAGCCCCGGTGCCCAGCAGCGCCCCCTCCTCTGCTCTGCCAGCCAGCAGGGAGGAAGATCAGATTGCCCAGAGATCTTTTAAATGAATACAGGCTCAGCCTGAGCCACCGCCGCGCGCCCTGGCTGCCCTCCAGCTCCTGAGCAAGCTCAGCACTCCTGAATCAAGCGCTCACTGCTAAGCCTGTTTGAGCCACGCTAGGAAAGCTGCAGGCTCACGGATTACAAAAGCTCCTAAGCTGTGGGCTCTGGAGAACAAGATAGTTCCAGGTGCTTCAGACCACTGAACGCTCCTGCAAAGAGCTCAGCACAGCAGCAGCCCCACGTACCTCCATGGCAGGCAGCCCCACGTACCTATGGCAGCCTCGTCGTCGGGGGGCCCCTCGTAGAGCAGCTCACAGCGGTACTTCTGGGCCGTGACCGGAGAAGGCAGGTGGATGGTGATCATCTGCAGCAGGGCGTCTCCGGCAGGCAGCCACCGCCTCATCACAGCCTGAGCACAGAGCAGAGTGAGGCAGGAGCCCAGCACGCAGCCCTGCCTTCCTCGCTCCCCTCTACACCTTCCTACCCCAGCAGGGTTTGCAGCTGCAGAGCAAATCCCTACAGCTGGATCAGCCCAACTCATCTCCTCTCATGGAGGATTCAACCCATCTCACCTTCAGCAGGGGTTTGCCCTCCTTGTCCTTATCTTCGCTGTCAAGCTTGATGTCAAGTTTCTCAATCAGTTTGGCTGCCTCATCTTTCTTGAAGGTCATGATTGCATCGAACACCTACGAGAGCAGCAGCAGTCAGGAATGCTTTCAGGACCCAACCTGAGAGCAGCAGCATCTCTAAGGAGAACCTGTGCTGAATCCACTGCCTTCCCAACCCACCGCCCTCCCCTGCTGCACAGAACCACGAGCTCAGCTCGTCTCAGATACTCAAATTTCTTCAATCAAACAAGTCAGGTCAAAGTGAAGAAATTTTCCATCATCACGCACTGCAGCAGAACAAACAGAGCTTAGGGCATCAGCAAGGAGCACACCTTGAAGATGGGATCAAGGATGAGCTGGCAGAAGGTCCTAGGCAGTTTCTTTCCATCAGGGCCAGTAGCAGATTTGCTGAACTTGCCAGTAGCAGGATCAAAATACCTGCAGAAGAAACGAGCCAAACAAATATCAACCTCCAGCTCAGGTGTAAAAGCGTGGCAGCTTCTTTTCCCCCAATCAGCTCAGGGGTGAGGAAAAAAACCAGCACAAGGATCAACTGACTGAGCCTGAATGCCTGCACTGCCGGGTCAGGGCACACAGAGCTGCGTGGGATCGGAACCGACAGCCACAGTCACTCACCTGTCTCCCCACAGCTTCTTCATCATGTCTTCTACTTTCTTGGCACGCTCAGATGGATTCATCTGGGCATCACCCTTAGCAGCAAACTTTGCAACGTACATTTCAGCAAACTGTTTCAAAGTGAAAGCCCAGCCATGCAGGCCAGAACCAAAGCCAACTGTACCAAGCACGGGATCGATCTGAAAGGGAAAAGGATCAGCTGTGGAGGCTCCAGCAGTCAGCCCAGGCAAAGCAAACACTGCAGGCCTCCAGCAAGAGCCTGAAGGTGGGGCCTCAGAGCCACAGAAGCACTGAGCCTTTCTGCGGCAGCGCCTGCCCAGAGACTGCCTGGCCCACACAGCCCTTTTCAGCTCCAGGACCCAAAACTGGATCCTTTTTTCTTCACTTCATCCAGCTCAGCGGATCTGTCTGCAATCAGACCGCCATCCTTAAGGGAACACCAGTCTAAGAGTTGACAATTTGTTTGTTGCTCAGCAGGAACAAAGCACAAAGGTTTCCCCAGAACCCGCAGCTGAACAGCCCTGCACGCAGCTCGCAGTCCAGCAGGGAGTGAAGGGCCCAACATCCCCAAGTGCCCTCCAGCCTCAGCAGGCAGCCCAGGCCCTGCACCCTGCGTCAGCTGAGCGAGGAAAGCCCTGCCAAGAGGAGAACAGCCTCAGCAGGCAGAAAACACACTGGTGTTCCTATACCTCACTGGGTGGGTGCCCCCACTGCCCCAGCCCCACTCCTCCTATGAGTGAAGGCACCGCTACCACACGCAGCTGCTCCCTCCTGCTGAAAGCAGCCTCCCAGCCCTTCACCTACCATGATGTTCCCCATAGGGCCGCTTTCTCCTTCCCCGTAGGTGGAGATGATGACGTTCACATTCTCCACGATCCTCTGGAAGGTCTGGTACAGCTCCTCAGGATCCAGCTGCAGCTCCAGCAGCGCCCGGTCCATCTTGTTCATCATCAGGACGGGTTTGATCCTCTCGGCGATGGCCTGACGCAGCACAGTCTCTGTCTGCACACACACACCTGGCCAACACAGGAGAATCAGTTCTCCTCACCTTCAGCTCAGCCCAAGGCGGGCTGCAGTTACACACGGCTGCAAAAATCTCACCAGAGACGCAGTCGACAACAACCAGGGCGCCATCAGTGACCCGCAGAGCAGCAGTGACCTCCGAGGAGAAATCCACGTGCCCAGGAGAGTCGATCAGGTTGATCAAGAAACCAGAACCATCCTTGCTCTGCTTGATGAACGCCAGATCGTTTTCAGAGAGCTCGTAGAACAGAGAAATAGCTCTGAAATGGAAGAAGAGCTGTTAACATCACCCACTCGTTACCCCTCCGCAGCACTCTGGAGCAAATACAGTTGGAAGCATCCTTTCATCCTTTATTATTTATTTCCAGACAGCTGCATCCAGCCTTCAGGATTTCCTGAAAAGGCCCACAGCACTCATCAGTTCCAACCCCCTGCTGTGTGCAGGTCACCAACCAGCAGCCCAGGCTGCCCAGAGCCACATCCAGCCTGGCCTCGAATGCCTGCAGGGCTGGGGCATCCACAGCCTCCTTGGGCAACCTGTGCCAGTGCCTCACCACCCTCTGGGGGAAAAACTTCCTCTTAATATCCAACCTAAACCTCCCCTATCAGGGAACGTGATCCAGAGAGGCAGGTGGGGAAGATGCTCAGGAGTGTCCACAAAAAGCTCTGCTTTTCACGCTTCTCTGAAATCATAACTTCTTCTGACACCATGAAGTGCCAAAGAGGCACACGGCCTCCTCCTCTCAGCTGCACGTTTCTGCTTTTCCCACCAGCCCAAACCCCTTCTGGCCCCCCCCCCCCCCCCCCCCCTCAGGTGTCAGACCCACAGGCAGCGATGCTCTCAAGGAGGACAGCTGCTCACCAGGCAGCCTCCACACTGCAGGACTCCCAGCCACCAGCTCCATTACACACAGCTGGTGCCAAAACAAGAGGCCAAAAGTCACACTGCGGGAGCACGTCAATGTCCCAGCAGCCATCAAGGTAAGGCTCAGTGACTCACCACAGGGCAATCAATACGTGCTCCTTCTTTTAAGCAATCCAAACAAGTAAAAAACAAAAAACAAAACTAAGCTTTTGAACAAGAAGACAAGAGAAAGGCTGATGCGATCATCTTCATCTCAAGGTGAAACCAGGGTAGGATTCAAAGCATTCCCGAGGTCATTGGGAACACGAGGGCACCCTTAGCAGCAGCACTCACGTAGATTTGATGGTGATGCACCGTTCCTGCTCGTCCTTCCTGGTGTCAGTGAAACGGGTCTCCCCCGCGCGGGCAGAGGCGATGATTCCAGCTTTGCATACCAGAGAATCAGTCAGGGTCGACTTGCCGTGATCAACGTGGGCGATCACTGACATGTTCCTGATGTTGGCCTTTTTGTCCATGATGGCCCGTATCTGATCTACCGTGAAGTTCACCTTGGAGAAAAGGACGAGAGAGGAAAGGAAGACGCGCTACGTAACAGAATGGCTCCATTTCTTCATACGTGGCACCGTCAGGTTTAACCTCACAAAACAACAAGCTGGAAAAAAGGCCAGGGCACCGCAGGGAGGACCGGGCCTGAGGTGCAGCAGCCAGCAACGCGCCTTCAAGCTTTGCCGCACTGACAGCGCCGCGGGCCGCCCTCCATCCTCACCCCCCGCTCAGGGGAGCCCCGCACCGCGGAGCCGCAACGTTACGTAAGCGCTCCGGTAGCCGCACCGCAACGCCGCATCGCCGGCCGCCGCGGAGCTCCCGGTTAACGACGCCCAGCGGCCGCCCCAGGCCCCGGCCCCGGCCCCACCCCTCTCCCCTCACGGCGGCCCGGGCCGCAGCGCCAGGCCTCGCCCCGCCACGGAAGCCCGGCTGCCCTCCCAGAGCGGACATCCCCGCCCGCGCAGCCCGCGCAGGACCCGCTCAGCTCCTCTCGAACGGCGGCAGGACGCGGGGCCTCACCATGGTGGCGGATGGAGGTGGATTCTCCGGGGCGGGGGGGTACAGCAATGGCGGCAGCGGCGGCCCTGTCTCGCTGGCGAGCGCAGAGCGGGCGGAAGAGAACGCTGACGTCAACCGCCCCCCTTTTATAGGGCAGCGCCGGCCGGGGGGAGGAGCCTGAACGTGCGCGTGCGCAGACGTGCCTCTCTAGCACCCTGCTGCCGGCAGCTCTATGGTCGGGCGGTGAGGTCCTCCAAGGGCCGCAGCCGGGCTCCACGCAGACCCCGCTCAGAACCCGCAGCGGAAACAACACGGCCACCGCGGGAACGACCCGGAGAACGTATTCGGGGCGCTCCCCGAGACCACGAGAGCGCCTCCCCTTCTGCCAGCAGCGCCGTGCAGGGCACCGCGGGGCGCGGCCCTGGCCGCAGTGGGACCCTGCCGGGAGTGGGCAAGCCCCACCCCTCTCGGCGTCTCCGGCCCAGCTGCGCGTGCGCCGGCCGGCCGGCACCGGGGAGGGCACAGGGCTCTCCAGCGCCCCCTGCGGGCGGGGAGGAGCGCGGCGCCCCGGGCCCGGCGCGGCACGGAGCAGCCCGAGGTGCGGAGGATTCCCGCAGCACGGCGTGCAGCCCGGGGCGCTGCGAGCAGCGGCTCCTGCGGCAGAAGCCCATCGTGGGCGAGCAAAGAGAAGATCCAACCAGGGCTGCGGCGGAACATCGCTCTCCATCTCCACACCGCGAGTGCTTCGCTGTTGTTTCTTCCTCTTCATCGGCACCGCAGGACGCCGTGGCTCCGTTTCCATCAGCTGCAGTGCAACAGAGCTCTCCCAAACCTGCAGCATGCTGTCTCCCGGCCCCATCCCACGGGGACAGTAGTGGGGTGCAGCAGGGACTGCTCCGGCCTTGGGGGCTGTGTCTGCTCCTTTCTTGTGACACGAGTTATCAGCTGTTGGCATTGCTATAAGAGCCACTTGAATTTCTAGCACCAATGCTGGCTTTTCCCAGAGAGCACACTGGGCAGTGTGATTAACGCATTAGCCTGCATGGAAAACTGGCTAGTTATCTTCTTGCTTAATTAGCTTACGGGGCTGACATCGAGGAGAAAGAAAGCGCTAGGAAAAGCTCTATGTTCAAGAGACCACCCTCAGGGCTGCCCCCATTGTGTAACATCGCTGCCAACGATATGTGAGGAGCTGTCACAGCCCCGATTTGCTTCACCTGCAGGAGGAGCAGCTCCACTGCACCCAGCTTCACCCCAACCACTCGCGTTCTGTCCTTGTAGCTCTCCCTGCAGCCGTCAGCCCAGTGCTGGGCACTGCCGTGTGTCTGGAACACACCTAAAAGATGGACGTTTTGCTTTTACCCTCTGTCATTCAGCTCTCAGCTCCCCAAAAGCACCTCCCAGCAAAACCCATCTCAGGGCTTTGCAAGGAAAAGGAAAACGCACTAAAAGCCTTATTTCCTCACCAGGCAGCACACCGCCTTATTTCCTCACCAGGCAGCACACCGCTGCTTCCAACATCAGCCAACGCTCCCGGCACTCAGGCTCCAAAGGCTGCGCAGACCCAAAAGAAGCCCGGCAGGAGCAGAACCAAGGGAAATCCCTTCCCTGCCCCCTGCCAGGCCTTCGACACAAGCCCAGCAATAAGAGTAGGCCGGGGCCCGCTCTTGTAGGCCCGGGGCCGTTTTAGGGGCACTGACCATCGCCCCTAGGCGGGCCCGGTCAGCCCCGCACCGTGCTGCCATTTGCTCGCTGCGGGCCCGGCCCTCGCAGGCCTTCATCCTCACAGCCGCCTCTCCCTCCTGTTTTTCGGGCGCGGTTCCTTTAAGGCCCCCGGAAGGCGGGGGCGGGGCGGCGCTACCGCGCCTGCGCGTTGCGGCGGCGGCCTCCGAGGAGAGAAGCGCGAACGCGGATTGGACGGCGCGTGTCTCCCGCGCGCCCCTCCCCTCGCCGCCAGGCGTCACGTGACCCGGCGGCGGCTCCCGGCGCGGTGGACGCTGGAGGCCAAGATGGCGGCGGAGCTGGTGGAGGCGAAAGTGAGTGAGCGGCGGCGGCGCCGGCGGCACGGCGAGGCCGGGCTGGGCGGGAGCGGGCTGAGGGCTGAGCGGCGGCTCCTCCCGGCTCGGAGCCGGCGGCGGGCGGTGCGGTTCTGCGGGTGAGAGCCGGGGGGCGGCACCCCGGGACCGCCCCCCCACACACACCACCCTCTCCGCCCCCCCGGCTCGTTCTCCCGCTTTACCTCAGGGCCGCCCCACCCCGTGCGGGCCTTCAGGCCTCACCGCTCCCGGAGCCGTTCCCAGCCGTTCATCGGCGCTCGGGGCTTTCCTTCCTTCTCTATCTGCTGTCAGAGGGAGCGGCTGTGCGGCCCTCCCACCCCCCCCAAGGGAAAGGTGTTGGTTTGTGGGGCACTGGAGGTGCTGGGGGGGGGGATCTACCAGCAATGGGGGAGGGAGTGGCCTATATGAACCCCCTCAGCCTGTGTCCCTTCAGTGTATTGGGGGTAGGGGGCTGGGGAGCTCCTGAACCCCCCCCCCCCCCCCAGCCCTTCCCTCAGTGTTGAGCTGTGAATGTGGCACCCGTAGGGGTTTGTGTGGCGCTCTGGGTGCAGTAGTTTGTAGTGGGGGGCTCCGTTCTGTGGGGTCCCTGTGGGCGTCAAGGGACAGGTGTTGGTTTGTGGGGCACTGGAGGTGCTGGGGGGGGGATCTACCAGCAATGGGGGAGGGAGTGGCCTATATGAACCCCCTCAGCCTGTGTCCCTTCAGTGTATTGGGGGTAGGGGGCTGGGGAGCTCCTGAACCCCCCCCCCCCCCCCCAACAGCATTGAGCTGTGAGTGTGGCACCCATAGGGGTTTGTGTGGCACTCTGGGCTCTGTGGGTGCAGCAGTTTGTAGTGGGGGGCTCCGTTCTGTGGGGTCCCTGTGGGTGTGGGGTTGGATTTGCAAAGCTGTGTGTCAGTGCAGCCCGGCAGCTCCTGCAGATTGGAAGTGCTTCACGCCTGCTAAGGAGCAGGGATGTGCCTGGTTGGCTGCAAGGATACATTTTAACAACCCCTCTGGTCCCCATCTGTCACTGATTCGGTCCCTCTTCATTGCTGTGGGCTCAGCACCCCTCTGCAGGAAGTTTGCTGCCTGCTTACCACTGGAGCACAGCTGGTGCTCAGACCCAGGGAGGAGCTGAGCTCAGTGCTCAGGGATCTCAGCACTTCATACAGTGACATGTTGTTGTTTTTTAATGAGACTTGCTCTGCAGCAACACGGATCCTGATTCTAAGGGTGAAGACTGTTGGTTCCATCCCCAAAGGCTGTTGGTTCTGCACCAAAAGTGCCAAGAGAGTGGTGCTGTGGGAGCAGCGAGTGTAGGAGCGCTGCTGTGGCTGTGTTTGTCTTTGCAGATATGCGTTTATCCTTGACATGCCCCAGTGAAGACAACACACGCTCTGTTTTGTACCATTCTGAGACACTGAATTCCTCCAGGGTCACCCAGGTGGTGCCTGGTGAAGCAGCAGTGTGAATCCACATCTCTCGTGTCGTCGTAGCAATTAAGCATCCTTCTCTCCTCTTGCCTGCCTTCCTTCCCTCTCCTTTTAGGAGAGCAGAGACCTGTTCTAGCCCTGCTGCTGCTCTTTGCTGTGGGATGGCTGAGTTCTTGTTTTCCACTAACTAGGAAAGGTGCTGAGGGGATACACATGGGTGCCTGTCAAGTATACTTTCAGGGCAGCTTGAATCTTCACAAAAACCTGCTTTATAAGCTTGATGGCCCTTTGCCATGCAAGAGAAGCATGCCATCCATCTGACTGTACCACTGCGCTCAGCAGAGACCTCTTCTAGCTCCTGTTCTGATATAGCATTGAACTGTCTTTGAACCTGCTGATGGTTCTGGGCCTCCTGAGCTCCCGCAGCAGCAGCAGAATCCATTTGTGAAGGTAGGGCTGCTTTTTGCTGCTTATCAGAGCGCTGACATCCCTAGCAGCAGCCCTGGTGCTGGCTGTGAGCGTGGGGGAGTGCTTGGCGAAGCCCCCGCCTGCAGCCTGCAGGCATTGTTCTCATGGGAACGCACTGCTCTCTTCAGTCTTCTCTTCCCATAGCTGAAGAGACACACGCTTCTTGTTTTCTTCAGGTTCTGCGTGTATAAGAAGAGTTCTAGAGAGTTTGTTTCGCCTGTAGAAACAGCACGGAGGTGCACTGGAGGACTGGCAGCCCCACTTCACCTCAGTGTCCTCTGCTTTCCAGCTGGTGTTTGTTTTCTCCCTTTTTTTCTTTGGCTCTTTAAACCCTTCGTGTTACCCAGAGATACGGGGGAGTTCAGAAGCTCTGAGCTCCTGCATGGTGTTGATGCTCTGGGCTGCACTGACGTGTTGGAGCTCCCTCCTCTGTGCCCCCCGTGGCTCCTATTAGAACGGTTGTTTGATGTTCAGCACTTTGAGTGATTGGGTCTCTGGTCTGGGTGGGTCGGTGGGCTCATACAGAACACTAAGAACTGTCACTTTGCCTTCCTGTCACTGTAAGAACATCTTCAATTTTTTTATCCCCCAGAACATGGTGATGAGTTTCCGAGTCTCAGATCTTCAGATGTTGCTGGGTTTTGTTGGCAGGAGTAAAAGCGGACTTAAACACGAACTAGTCACCAGAGCACTGCAGCTGGTCCAATTTGACTGCAGCCCTGAGGTTTTCAAGAAGATCAAGGAGCTCTACGAGACCCGTTATGCCAAGAAAAGCTCCGAGGCCCCGCAGCCGCACCGCTCCCCCGAGGCTCTCCCCATTCATTCTTCGTACGAGCGCGGGAGCGCCGTGCCTCGGACTTCTATCTCCACCCCCAACATTGACTATCCCACCCTCTATGGGAAGTACCTGAACGGACTGGGCAGGTTGCCCCCCAAAGCTGTGAAGCCTGAAGTCCGCTTGGTGAAGCTCCCCTTCTACACCACCCTGGATGAGCTGCTGAAGCCCACGGAGCTCGGTGAGTTTTCTGTGTGTTGTGTCTGCAGGGTCTGGGCAGAGAGGAGTGAAAGAAGTGAGTGTCCGAAAGATTGGTTTTTCAAGTGGTTGGAAGTGGGATTTTCAAGGCTCTGTGCAGAGCAGGCTGTGCACACAGTGCTGGATGTCACCTTTCCCCCCTGCGGTTTCCTCCCTGGTGCCTGAAGTGTATGGAATATAGAATGGTAGAATGGCCTGGGTTCAAAAGGACCACAGTGATCAAATGTTTTCAACCCCCTGCCGTGTGCAGGGTCACCAACCAGCAGCCCAGGCTGCCCAGAGAACCCACAGGGTGCCATGATCATAGAATCACAGAATGGCCTGAGTTGCAAAGGCCCACAACGCTCATCAGTTCCAACCCCTGCTGTGTGCAGGTCACCAACCAGCAGCCCAGGCTGCCCAGAGCCACATCCAGCCTGGCCTTGAATGCCTGCAGGGATGGGGCATCCACGGCCTCCTTGGGCAACCTGTTCCAGTGCCTCACCACCCTCTGGATGAAAAACTTCCTCCTCATATCCAATCTAAGCCTTCTCTGTCTCAGTTTACAACCATTTCCCTTGTCCTGTCACTATCTACCCTTTAAACAGTCGTTATTCCCCTCCCTTCCCTTAGAACAAGAGCACGCTTGCATGGAGATGTAACTTGCAAGCCTGTCCCATTGGCTGTAGCTTCCTGCCCTTCCTAATGCTGCATTGTGGAGCACCATCTGTCTTCTCTCCCTGTACTGCCTCAGTCTGCCCATGGAACTCCCTGTGTTGGTGTTGCACCCAAGCTGAGAAGACTATTTCTGCCATGCTCTGTTATTTCTCAGTGCTGAGCACTCCCAGCCTGGAGCCCCCCGTGGCTGAATGAGCACTTCTGGTGCTATTGCTGACCTCTTCATTTTGCCTTGCGCGTGGTGCTGTGCCTGGAGGAGCAGCCAGGGAAGCTGGGGAGCTGTGGGGAGCTTTTTCTCCCACTGCTGGGTGGGAATCTGCTTTGTTTTGCTTTCATACAGCTTTGAGCACTGCCCTGGGGTGTGGGGAGGCTGCTGGGCAGGGATTACGCTGTTGTTGTGCTTTGCTTGGCCTCAGTGTCTCCTAAAGGGAGTGAAGCTGCCCAGGTCTCGCAGCTGAGTGAGCCCAGAGCTCAGGGAGCTGATGTGAGGTGCTGCCATGAGGACGCAGCGCGGTGGAGACGCAGTGTTGGGCTGTGCTGGCAATGCAGGCTGTGAGATGTGCCTGCACGTCTTCCATCACTTTGGAATTGCATCTTTCTGCTTTTTTCCTTTTTTTTTTTTAATTTTTTTAATCAGACTTTTCCATTTTCTGCCTCATTACCTGGTTTGGGCATCCCTCCCCCATGGCCTTCCTAGTTGTCTCCCCCGATAACTCACACCAGATGTTCATTACCTCCTGCATGCAGTGCTGCCTGCCTCCACCTGTTCACCCTGGTTCTGTTACTCGAAGCAGGCCTGCAACCCGTTTTACCACTCTCGTTGGTGGGGTTTTTTCCTTCTTTAAATACAAATTCATCAGGCTCAATGTGATTTTCACCTTTCTGGGGGGAGGCATTGTGTTCATGCTGTGACTCTGATAGTGAGCTGATGCCTGTGAAGCTGAGGCGTTGCTCTCAGTGCTGCTCAGGGGGCGGTTTAATTCAGCCCTGGATGTGGGATGGCATCTATTAGTCAGAAATGCAAGATTCTGAAGAGAAGTAATCATAAAGAAGTGGAGCCATCTGGAGATAGGAGGGGAGCAGGATGTGATGAATAGATCCTTATTCAAAGTTGACCCCAGGTTTGCTCTGTTGAGTCAGAAGTGCCGTCTCACAACACGCAGTAACGCACCTGTGTGCTGCTGATGCCCCCTCGGGTTGGTGCCCTCCCAGGGTGGCTCTGACGAATTTCCCTTTGCTGAGAGCATTTCCTGAACAGCCTTTGGGGCTGGGAGCCGAGTGCTTGGGCTCTTTGGGGATGAGTTCAGCCCTCAGCATCCCAGCTCTGCACTCAGTGTGGGCTGCAGGTGTCACTGAGTGCATGGAGGAGCTTTCTCTGCAGGAAAACCCTCAGCTGCTGTGGGAGCAGCGCCCTTCCCTGGGCTGCAGGAGGCTTTGTAGCCACAGTGGGAGTGAAGGAAGCCTAACTGGTACGTTCCTGACTTGGATTGGAAGCACACTTGTTAATTAAAAGCTCTTTGACCCTTGGAGATGAGGCTGATGGTGAGGTGATGCTGAGCCTGGTCTGTGGGTGAGTGCCTTCCCTGAGGAGGGCTCACATCACTCTTACACCCGCAGGCTTCAGCCCACAGCACACAGGTGAGGTCTGTTGCAAACAGCTCCTTCCTCCCGGCAACCACACGCAGCTGCAGTCCATTTCAGTGTTGTTTGTGGGGCTCAGCTCCCAAGGACAGTTTGCAGAGTCCTTCTGGGCTTTAGAAGCCTTGTGTCTGGGCTCCTTCTGAAGGTTGCTGGTCGAGCTCTGTCTTAAAAATCGATTTCCTGCTGTTGGAATGAACTGATGGCAGCAGCAGCCATGCAAGCCCAGGCACGGAGGTGCAATGCAGCAGCATCTGTTCCAGAGAAAGGATGGAACTCAGTCACCTGGAGATCTGCAGCCTTAAAAGCCCGTGCTTTTTTCCCCTGGCTGCTCAGTGAAGACACAACAGCAGCTGAGGTGCCCCTGAGGTGCTCAGCTCCAGGACTGGGGCTTGGAAGGGCCGTGGGGTCACTGCCCAGCTCTGCCTTGGGGGAATCCTCCTGCTCTGCTGGGGATCTGCCTCCTGCTTTCTCCCTGCAGTGCAGCTGCTTGGCAGAGAGGTGCCAGCAGGCAGCAGCTTTGGGGTGGTGGTGTTTCCTCCAGGTGAAGCTGCAGCAGGTTGCTGTGGGGGCAGAAGTGCCCTCAGCTCTCCCATAGAGGAGGGTCTGTGAGGGAGAGACTTATGGCACTGAACAGACCTGTTTGTCTTGGTTGGGGAGCGTTGGGTGTTGCAGTGCTTTGGAAGGGCTTTGCTCACTGGTCTGGAGGTGTTTAGATGATAGACCACGGTTCCCCAAGTCTACAGGGATATCTTAATGTTTTCTATTATATATAATATATATATATAATGCATTATTTATTCTGAATGCCCTTTTTGTGTTTCTAAAGCTGAATTATAGAAGGGCAGCGGATGGAAGCAACAAACCCACATCTGTCAGCATCTGAGAGCTGCTTTTCTCCTTCCTTCATCTCGTTTTGACTCCTGGGCAGAAAAGCACCTTTTCCCACACCTCAGATCCAGGTGTTTTGCCTTTGAATAAACCAGCAGTGACTTGAGGTGCTTAGAGAAGGCACATGAGGAAAGGGGAAGCGAGCAGTTGCGTTGCTCCCTGCTCTGTGTGTTACCCTGTGACAGCAAACTGCAGCATGCTGGCAGTTAACCTGAGGTGATAAGCCTCGAGTTCCCACATCTCAGGCTTAATGTTAAGCAGACTGAAGGCATTTGATCTTAAAATGAGGAATAGAAGGAGGGCAGTTAATGCTGGCTCCTGGGCTGAGCCTCGCTGCTGGGCATCCAGCCTGCCAGCTCTGCCTCTTGGAGCTGCCCTGAGTTTGTTTGCTGGTGGCAGCTGGAGGCCAAGAAGTCTCAGATGGCAGCGTGGCTCAGAACAGCGAGCAGCGTAGAGGAGCTGCTGTCAGACCGCTGTGTTTCTTTTCTCCTTTTCAGTTCCACAGAACAACGAGAAGCTCCAGGAAAGCCCCTGCATTTTCGCCTTGACGCCGAGACAAGTGGAGCTGATCCGAAACTCCAGGTGCTCCTCCCTGGGTGCCCTTATCTGCAGACACTGCAGCCCACAGCTTCCTCTGTGCCGCCTCCCTCCCCTGCATGGAGCTGATCCTTAATGCCCTTTGTTCACAAACCCAAATAGACAAAGAGAATTTTCGCTGCCAGTCGCACATAAGCACAGTGGTTTTGCAGCAGTGGCTTCAGGGGGTGTCTTGAGGATCAGCCCGTCTTCTTGCACTGCTGTGGCAGTGCCCCACTTGTACCCACGTGGATCCTGAACCGCCACGTGAGCTCAGCTGCCACCCCTACAGCAGGAACAGGGAGTTGAATCAGGAAGCAGAATCTTGGAGGAGTGCAGTCAGGCCCTACCTGAGACCTGGGTCCTCTGAATGCTGACACACAGCAGAAAAAAAAATGCCAGGAGAACCAGTGTCCTTCCTGCAGTGTTTGTACAGCTTTGAAAACTCCCTGTGAGGCTGCAGGGTGCCACAGCACGACATAAAAGCATGCAGGACTACAGATAGATGGCTGCAGAGTGAGCTGGGCAATTGATATAAAACTCTGGGAAGTAATTATATAAAGGCTGGTTTTTAGAAAGATTGATTCTCTAGTCTTTATGTCTGATAAATGGGGCAGTTGATCTGGGCTTTTCTTTGTGTAAGTTCTTCTTCCTTGCTTTCCCAGGGAGTTGCAGCCCGGTGTGAAGTCGGTTCAGGTGGTGCTCAGGTAAGTCTGGGTGTGGGTTTCAGATGAGGTGCTGCAGGGGGAGGAGGGGAGACATCACTGGGTGCAGTGAGCTGCAGGGTGGTGATGTTCATAGCTGGAAAGAGCAGTTAGAGCAGGCTGGCTGCTGGCACCTCGTGCAAGTGTCCTCAGCTGTCTGACACCTTCCTGCTGTGCCACCTGAGTCAGCAGCAAACAGCAGTGTGTCCCATGTCCATAGAATCATAGAACGGCCTGGGTTGCAAAGCAGCACAGTGCCCATCAGTTCCAACCCCTGCTGTGTGCAGGTCACCAACCAGCAGACCAGGCTGCCCAGAGCCACATCCAGCCTGGCCTTGAATGCCTGCAGGGATGGGGCATCCACAGCCTCCTTGGGCAACCTGTGCCAGTGTCTCACCACCCTCTGGGTGAAAAACTTCCTCCTCATATCCAAACTAAACCTCCCCTGTCTCACTTTAAAGCCATTCCCCTCATCCTGTCACTATCCAGGCTCCAAATCACAGAGGTCCTGCCCTTGGTTTGGCCTTCAGTGTGGGCAGAGGAGGGAATGTGGGTTGGGAGGTGATGCTTGGCTGCTGGTCGGCGCGTAGAGCTTTGAGCAGTGAACCAGGGCAGCATTTTAGGAGCTGTGTGGTTGTTTTTCTTTTGCAGGATCTGTTACACAGACACCAGTTCCCCCCAGGAGGATCAGTACCCCCCCAACATCGCCGTGAAAGTGAACCACAGTTACTGCTCCGTGCCGGTGAGCCAGCTGGGCTGGGAGGCACCAGGGCTGCTGCAGGTGTTCCTTCTGCTGTGTGCAAACAAGAAGGCAGAGTACAGAAGTTACCAATTTAGCTTTCAGATGGATTAGCTGTTAATGAAGTGCTTTTGCAGAGACTCCTTTTCGCTTTGTGCTGGGTCGCAGCGCTCGGCTTCCTTCTCCCTCTTCCTTGAAAACCGTGGCTGGGTTAGGAGGCAGTGAGGCTGACGTGTGGTTGTTCCTCCCCAGCAGCATCTTCAGCATTTAAACAAGGCAAATCTTTCCACTTCAGGGCTACTACCCGTCAAACAAACCCGGGGTGGAACCCAAGAGGCCGTGCCGTCCCATCAACCTCACCCACCTCATGTATTTGTCAGCGGCCACCAATCGCATCACCGTCACCTGGGGGAACTACGGGAAGGTAGGAGCCATGGGGAGGCACACAGGGCTGCGTGGGGGTGCAGGAGAGCCCCCTGTCAGCCCTTCCCTTCCTCCTCTCTCAGAGCTATTCCGTGGGGCTGTACTTAGTGCGGCAGATGACCTCAGCTGAGCTGCTGCAGAGGTTGAAAACCATTGGGATCAAACATCCAGAGCTCTGCAAAGCACTGGGTGAGTATTTGTGGGCAGGGGGGCTCAACGTGTGCCTACCTGGTGGGCAGTTTTGGCAGCCAGGCTGCTGGAAATGTGTGTGAGAGCTGAGTTTCACACCATTTCTTCCCTCCAGTCGTATACAACGCTTCTTATTCAAACAGGCTCACGAAGATGTTTGTTAATCGTGTGAAATTGCCCCCAAATCCTCAAGCAGAAGCTCTGAGTCGCATAGTGATGTTTGGGGTTGGTCTCCAGGTTATGTTGTGAGCACTGCTGCGGGTCAGCATCCTTCTGAGCAGCTTTGTGCCTTCCTCTGATTGCCTTGAGCTGAGGGACGTCACTGCAGCACCTCAGCCCTGACCCACATTGAGCCCAAAGGGGATTTCTGGAGAGAGGGATCCTGGTGGGAACATAATTCTGCCCACCAGGAATCCTGGGCTGGGCAGGGGGTTTCAGCAGCACAGCTTTCACACGTGCTGAGAGGGAAGAGATGATCCCAAAAGATGCTCATCCTGGGCTGCTCAGGTAATGGTGGTATGAGGCACGTGGAGAGCGTGGTGGAAGCGTGAAGGGAAATCACCTTCTCAAGGCAGAATCTGATTTGTGGCATCTGAGAGCCTGGAGGAATTCCTGGAGGATTCCCAGTGGCTCGTTGTCACTGGATGGATGCTGTTAGTGTTCAGGTCTGTGTAAGAGAAGCAACCCTGGATCACAGCAGACTTTAAATCGTGCTGTTCAGAGCTCTTAGCAGATGCAGGAAGCATCATCGTGAAGGTTTGCAGCCACAGAGAAAGCTCTTACCAAAAAAAAAAAAAGCCAGAAGTGCTGCAACTCTGTGACAGTTGAGCTTGGATGGAGCAGCACCTAACACCAAAGCTGCACCCAGTTGTCTTGTCTCTCTTCTTGTCTCCTGGGAGACATTGAGCTGCATTGAGGAGAAGTGCTGCGATTATGGAGCCTCATGGTCTGGAGAGCTGCTGTTGTGATCTGGGAGGGTCAGGATAAAGGGGTGATGTGCTGCAGAGGAGCTGGCTGGAGGAAATGCCCTTGGTTTTCAGTGCTGCCAGCAGCTGCTGTTCTTCAGGAGTCATGTGGTTTCATCTCAGGTTGGTTCTGCACCTTGAGGCAGATTTTCCCCTGTGGTTCTTGCTGCCCTTCCTGAGCTGCTCAGTGAGCTGAGGAGCGGCACCCAGCAGTGCTGAGATGGGACTGATGGGGAAATGAAGTTGGATGGCTCCCTGGCACTTGTGCTGCTTTCTGTTGGCTCACTTGTGGGATCTTCCTTGGAATTTTGGGGGTCACAGGGATGCAGTGCATCCCATCCTATTGCCACCCATCCTGGAAGGGAACAAAGTCCCTCCTGCTCATGCTAATGACCAGATAATTCATTAGATTAGAGAGGGGACCTGATCCAGGTCTATAAGTACCTAAGGTGTGGGGGGCAGAATGGTGAGGCCGGACTCTTTTCAGTGGTGAGTGGAGACAGGACAAGGGGAAACGGCCAGAAACTGCAGCATAGGAAGTTCTGCACCAATGTGCGAAGGAACGGCTGTGCAGTGAGGTGAGGAGCACTGGAACAGGCTGCAGGGAGGTGGGGGAGTCTCCTGCTCTGGAGATGTTCCAGACCTGCCTGGATGCCGACCTGTGTGACCTGCTGTAGGGAACCTGCTTTGGCAGGGGGTTGGACTCCATGAGCTCTGCAGCTCCCTTCCAACCCCTACCATTCTGTGATGCTGTGTGACTTCTTCCTGGGCCTCGTGGCTCTCTGTCCTCCCTTCTGCTCCCCACCAGCACGGGGATGGCGACAGTTGGCTCCTGCTGGCTGGGAAGGCAGGGCTGTAGGAAAAGGGGGGTGGACGTGGGGCTGGGGGCTGCAGGAAATGCTTTCCCACCAGGTGAGTGGATGCTGCAGAGCGCTGAGCCGTGTGTGGCCGTGCAGTGCTGTGCCGTCCTCTGCCTCTGAGAGCTCCTGGCCCTGCACTGCAGGTTTGTCTCCGTGCTGCAGTTTGCTCCTGTTCATTTTGTTGCCCTTTGCTGTTCCTGCAGTAAAAGAGAAGCTACGCTTGGACCCAGACAGCGAAATCGCCACCACGGGCGTCCGCGTGTCTCTCATCTGCCCGGTGAGTCTCTGCAATGCCTCCTCACCTGCTCTGCTCCACAAACCCAACCCGGCCGTGTGCAGCTGTGCTGCTGGGGCTCAGTGCTGGGAGCTCAGCCCTGCTGCTCACCGCTGCCCTGCTCCCACAGCTGGTGAAGATGCGGCTGTCTGTGCCGTGCCGGGCTGAGACCTGTGCACACCTGCAGTGCTTCGACGCCGTCTTCTACCTTCAGATGAATGAGAAGAAGCCCACGTGGATGTGTCCCGTGTGTGACAAACCCGCGCCCTACGACCAGCTGATAATTGATGGGTGAGTGTGTTCGCTGCCGTCCTCGGCCCTGGTGTTTCTCTGCTGGGTGAAGCAGCTTGTTTTACGGTCTGCCCTTCTGGAGCCCGCGTCGGGGCGAAGCTGGAGGTGTATTCTGCTCGTGCATCGTGCCCCGACTGCTTGTGTTGGTGTGCTGGAGCAAGGTTTGTTGGTCTGCCCTTCTTGATTTTAGGATTACCCTAAAGCCTTACGAGCATCGAGCGTTTACTGCCTCACTCTGATGAACCTGCACAATTGGCTGCCCTGGCTGACAGATGTCACGCTGCATGGAATAAACCCACTTTATAAGCACACGATAAGGTGATTTTTGATAGGAACCATCTTCCTTTTCTCTTGCTGGTGTGAGCAGGCAGCGCTTGCCACGCTGGGAGCTTGGCTGGGGGGATCTCTGCCAGCTTCTAAAGCAAACAGCTCCCGACATGCAGTCCCTGAGGCAGAAGTGCAGGTGCAGCGTTTGCATCAGGAACGTTATCTCTGTCTTCTGCGTGGTGCTGTGAAAGCATTGCAGGGAATTGGAGCAGAGCGAGGCAAGAAACGCCTGTGCTGAGCCCCGGCTGTGAGTTTGGCAGGGGCAGCTCCAGCCCTGCCACACAACCCTCGTCCCGGTCCGTGTGGGAGTGCTGCTCCCTCTGTCTCTGCACCAGAGTTGTTGGCTTGCTTTCTACCAAGGAGAGCTGTGGTTCTCCGAGGCGAGGAAAGCCGGGCGCCCTGTGGCAGGGCAGCAGTGCCTGGAGGTGCTCAGCAGCCCGGTGCCGCTGTGCGGCTGCAGCTCTCCCCCTCCTGGTGACGGAGCCACCTGCAGTGAGCAGAGCAGAGCTGCGTGGAGGCCCGGCTCCCATGTGGGAGCGAAGGAAGGCGGCGCAGTGGGCGCTGTGCTGAGCTGCGGACTGGGATCGCCCAGCTGTGTAATTGACCTTCAGTGCGGCGTCACTGCAGTGCTGGGATGGCAGAGGGTCAGCGCAGGGCCGTCCCGTGGCTGTGCTGGCAGTGCTCTGAGCGCTGCTGTGTCTGTCAGAGCTGCTCTCGTCCCGCGGTTGGGGCTCCGTGTTGGTAAAATTGCGCTCCGGGTGGCTGTGCTGAGCTGTGGGGCTGCCCACGGGGCTGTGTGTGCGTCCTGTGGGGCTGAGCAGTGCTGCAGGACGCCGTTGTGGAGGTGGGTGGCTGCTGCCGTGGCTGCGGGGAGTGAAAAGAGGCAGCAGGGTGCTGTGTTGGGAGCAGTGGGTGCTGGTGTGGGACAGGAGCGTGAGGCCGTGCGCTTCCTCAGGTGAAGCCTGGGGAGCCGCCAGCTCACAAACGGCCTCGGTGGGGTCTGGGTGCCTGGAGCCCCTTTGGAGGTGAAATGCTCCTCTGATGGCATGTGAGGAAGCTGCCGGTCTGTGGCTGCGAATGGCGGCGCTGTCGGTGCGGGGCAGGTGCAGCTGTGAGTGTGGAGCATTGATTCCCTGCCAGCCAACCCGGACCCACGGGGCCCTTCCTCCCACCCAGGCTGCTGTCGAAGATCCTGACTGAGTGCGAGGATGCGGATGAGATCGAGTACCTGGTGGATGGCTCCTGGTGCCCCATCCGAGCCGAGAAGGAGCGCAGCTGCAGTCCGCAGTGCCCCATCCTGGTGCTGGGTGAGTGCCCTGTGTGTGCTGCACATCCGCCGCCCCCTAAGCCACGCGTTAATTAGCAGAGGCCTTAATTCGTCCCCTCTTCCCCCGATCGCCTTCAGGTTCTTCGGATGTGAACGGGCTGCTGCCCGCTCCCAACGCTAACGGTGAGAACGGCAAAGCTGCTGCTGATGTGGTGGATTTGACACTGGACAGCTCGTCATCGGAGGAGGAGGAGGACGAGGACGAGGAGGAAGATGACGACGATGAGGGACCCCAACCAAAACGGCGCTGCTCTTACGAGAAGGGTTTGGTTTCTGCCTGCTGACTGTGGAAGCAGCTCTGAATCTCAGAACGGACAGACTTGAATACTCTGGTGCTGAAGCTGGAGGGGGGGGGAGAGCGTCGTCTCCCGCCTCGTCTCCCATCCTCCCCCATCTCTGACTTTCCTATTCCGAATTAACCATTAAAACAAGAGAAAAACAAACAAAAAGAAAACCCCACAACCACTGAGCTGCTTCTTGGTTGGAAAACCAGCCCAACTCCAGGCCCGACCCCGAACCGGACTCTGAAGCAAGGAAAGTGTCTTAACCCACGGCAGGGGCTTCAGCTCCCGCCCCGCCGCCCCCCAGCACGGCCCCACGCATCTCCAAAGCTGTGTGCATCCTTGTCTCGTTAATTAACCATTCCTGAGTATCTCGAGTTCTGCCGGGAGGGAGAGGGGGT